CTCTATTTATTCTCTCTCTTATTTTCTTGGAAAAGGCTGTAAACTCCCCTATGTTGGACAAAAAGACGATTCAAGCAGTTTTTTGTCAGTGATCCGAATAATGGTTTAGAACTCCTATTTTTCAATATTTTCTACAAATGTACTAGACAGTACAGACATCTGAGACGGAAACTTATTGTCTCAGACATTTTATGGAGGTATTGGACTGCTTTGGATTTCTTTATCGTGAGTGTTTGCGTACATGTAGTTTACATCTGCTAGAAATAGGCTAGAAATAGATCTAGAATGTTATTAAGATTATTTTTTCTCGTGAAAGAAATTTAATCAGATAAGGAAAGCTGATTTAGTATATTCCTGAATTAGCTGAAGCTGAACTCACTCATAGATGCCTGGAGGGGTTCATATTATTAAAAATGGAACTAGCTAGGAAATTAATTATTTTAGTCAGAAATGCCTTAATTTTTTTAGTTTTGTTGTTCTTCTTTTTAACTTATTGTAATTATTGGTAATATTGTTGTGATCATCATCATCAGCCAGATACACATCAACATCCTCACCATCATCAACCATTATTATTATCACCATGAACATCATCATCATCTTTATTATTACCATTATATAATCATTTTCATTATCTATAATTATTATTATCATCATCACCATCATCATCGACAGCATCATCAATATCATCATTATCATCTTCAACCATCATGATAGCCATCATCATCATCATCAAGGTCCATCATCATGATAACCATCATTATCATCTTCAACCATCATGATAGCCATCATCACTATCATCTTCAACCATCATGATAGCCATCATCATTATCATCTTCAACCATCATGATAGCCATCATCATTATCATCTTCAACCATCATGATAGCCANCATCATTATCATCTTCAACCATCATGATAGCCATCATCATTATCATCTTCAACCATCATGATAGCCATCATCATTATCATCTTCAACCATCATGACAACCACCATCATCAAGGTGCATCATCATTGTGCATCTTCATTCACTATTACCATCATCACCATTGTGCATCATTATTCACTATTACCATCATCATCAACCATCATCATCGACATCATTATAACCATTATTCCTTTATACAACTTGTTCCTTTATACAACTTATATTATTCTTAGAGAAATATTAGGAAGTAAAAGGTTATTTGCATTTATTCTAGTGGTTTCCAAGGAAATGAAAAAAAAAAGGTTTTATAGCTTTCTAATTTTAAATTAAAGTTCATGCATCTATTCATCTTGTTATTGAAAAAAATTCGTCTTATGTAATACATATAAGCAAACATTGAAAACTATGAAAGTCGAGAGGATTGTTAATCAAACAATGTGTACCCCGATTACTAACTAAAAGGTTTTCTTCTTTTTTACCTACGTTTTTTAAACATAACAAAATCAAAACCTACTTTTTTCTTTCCCTATCGCAAGATAAAAATAATAAATATGAATATAACAAACTTTATAGGTATTTTGAGGTATTTCGTTTTCATTTTCCTATTGCAATTAGCCTTACTCCAGTAGCAAATGAATTTAGTTTAGTGACTAGAGTCAATTGGACTTATACTCCTTAATTTTATGAGTGAATTTTTGAAATTCGAACTGAGGGGATTACAGCAAGAAAGATGCTATCGTTAGAAAAATGTCTGGCCAGATTCTTCAGAAGTCAAGATGACTACTTTGAATACTTTAGTGGAGTAATATCAATACTTTAGGCGTATTTGCAAATTATGCCTTAAGTTCCAGTTAATTATGAGAACATTCTAAGTAAATCCCTATGAAGTCCAATGAAGCTAATAAATTCTGATGAAACAACTGTATCATTTTGACTGCTTCTCAGTTGCAAGAAGGCACCTGCATGAGGCATGAAGACAATACAACAATAGCCAAGGACAATGAAATTGGAGATAAACATTACCCTGCAAAACAACAACCCTAACCCAGAATACAATAGAGCTTGCTACACAAAAGACCCATCATTTGTAATCCCCAATACAGACAAATATCCATATTAAAAAACTAAACAATAGATTTTTGCTTCGCGGAGAAAGAGAATTTCCTTGCTCGCTGCAGTTCGAGCTTCACTGGGAAATAAGGAAGGCATCTTCTATAAGTGAACTTCTACGAAATATATATTTTTACTATGGATTTCAACAAACCGACTTTAAAAAGAGATATATATATTTTAATCTTCAGATTCCTTCCGCTGTTCTTTTCCTTGGAATTCGAAATAGCCATAAAGAAGGAAACAGATCGTCTCCAATATTATTGGCTAGAAATCACGTGATTCAATCACTATCAACCAATAAGCTCGTTAATCAGCCAGAACCGTCAATTCCAAGTATTTAGTCGTTCCTTCCCACGTCACTATACAGATCTCAAAATATCAATTAGATTCAATCCCCTGCTGAGATTGAAGTGAAGACAACCTTTTTGCTTGAGTGCCAGAGCTTTGATTCTTTAAAGGTAAACGAAGTAAGCTTCGTCAAAAATCAGAGCTCCGCAGTTTGTTTAGCTTAGATTTCCCTGCAACAACTAAAAAATCTTACGTTCTTAAAGCCAGGGTTTTAAAAGGTAAGTATCTAAAATTATCCGTTATTGATTCTACGAACGCTATGGGGGAAGGAGTGAGAAAACATTTTCATTCTCCTGCAAAGAAGATTAACAACTTTATCATCTGCACGCCATTTGGTGAAAATTCAACATAATTCCACTCTAATACTTTTGAATTTCTCTGGTTTTATTTTGTTTGTACTTATTTTAAACATTTTTCCTATCTGACTTTGTGAGTCAAATTTTTAATCACTGACATAGTTGTTCACAGTTGTCAGAGAAATGATTTAGAATCTTCGTAATGGCCTCCGACATAAGTGATAAAGAGTAATGAACTTTCTACATGGAGTCAGTAAATGACACCCAACACGTTTTATAGTCTACAATGCAACAATTTTTCCAAACAATTAAACTACAAAGGCGGTTTTTCTACGGTTCGTGGGTTTTAAAACAGTAACAGTAAATTAATGAAGCAATGAGAGCCACTAGAGCTCTTAGCTGACTAGTTTTTGTCAGGCTTCTAGAAAAGACAACACTCAGTTGTGATTTCCATGGAAAATGTAAAAAGGGTCATGTCCAAGTAGGGATGGGGGGAGGCAGCAGAAAATTGATGCTCAACTCCCGAAGACATTGACATCTACCTTAAATGCCGAAACGTTGCACAAAATTAAAGTATTTGAAATAAAAATAGTTGTACTAGCTACCTAGCTGAGAATATTTATTGTGGATAAACATAATATTTATATTAAATTCGTATGTAGATATGATATATTTCATGAACTAAGTAATACTTTGGGGTAATTTAATGAAATATATTAATGGTTGCTAAGTAAAACACGAAATATATTAATCAAATAAGACAAAATAAGACAAGATATTCCAGTATAGCATTTTTACCCCTTGGCGAAAATTTATATGGCTTTTTTTTTTTTCTTTTTTCTTTTTTTTACGTGAGAAGTTGAACGGCAATATCACGAAACTGCCAAAAAATAAAACAAAATTGTTGGATAATGTTATCAAGATAGAAAAAAGTCAGGGATCTTAGTGACGTTTATTACAAGATTAAAGATAAAAGAACTCAAATGTTTTACAAGCATTGTGTGTGTTAGATTAGGGATACGATAAGAACTAGCATATCTTTACTCGCTACAAAGACTTCATCGTTATCATCGATCAATAGTGAAGTGTATGTTATATGGTAATGTTCATTTTTTCTTTTCTTTTCATTTTATTGTCCATTTTTTATTTGAAATCTCAATTTTATTTTTGTACTTTATCCTATATTAAAGCTTTAACTTATCATTATTTTTTTATTATTCATTTTATTAGTATTGTACTTGTATTTACTTTTAATTTTCTATTTTGGTATCTATTTATATGTTTGTCCTTAGTTTTTATTTTGTTTTTTATATTCATTTCCACTGATTTGTACTTTATTTATTATTTTAATATAATGAATCTCTTTTTCAATTTCTTATTTTTTTCTATTTGTGTATTCTGAATAATTATGTTTATTCTCACTACGCTTCTTTGATATGTTTAGTGTATTGAGCAAAAGCATTAAGCAAGAACCATATGATTTGAAATCTAGGCACCCAATGCATTGTTTGTCACAGCGAAAGTAACCAAGTGCTTTATAATATCTCTTGATAAAACGAAATATTTTTTGCCAAAAGACGACAAAACATGTTAGTACTTCTAAAAGTTATTTGGTAAATCTTTCCACGGATGTTTTATTTTCTTTATTTTCAAGTCAAAGACGTTTTTTTCTAGCCGAAAACCTCGGAAAAGGAAATCTTTAACTACGAACAAAACGTTTGCTGATTGGCTAACTCGTTCTTCCTGATAAAACTTAAATCATCTGGAATAACTAGTGTACAAAACCCCATTCAAACTTTTTTTTGGTTGTAAAGCCAACAGTAAAATACAAAAAAATAAATAAATCATAATGGTATTCGTTTTATTCAGTCTTCGTTATTTCCAAATAATCCTCGCCTCTAATCCAAGATATACTTTTAAAAAGGGTCTCTAGATTACTTAGTAACACCTTGGCAATAAGAATGTTTTAAGTTGGAACGCTACAGAAATATATCAATAATGACCTTCATGAAGAGCCTCATAGAATGGATCAGCCTAATGAGGTACCTTGAGTCCAGTGCACTTAAAACCACTGGAGGAGCCATAAGATATCATTAATACTGGTTCGTCATGTAAGGCTGATCAAACACCTGTTAATACCTTTCGACAAGATATGAATGAAACTTGCGTACAACGGTTATGTGAGACAAACCTTCACAGCCAACTACATCGTTAATATGGTATGCTAGAAGACCGACACGATAATAAAGTTTATGCATATATATATATATATGTGTGTGTGTGTGTAATAAACCTGTTAAGACTCTAACTCTGACTCGACGGTTGCGCAAGTCAAAATTAATGTGTTGACAGTCAACTACACTGTGAAGTAATCGTAATCTATTTACAAGGATTATATACTATAATGCCTTTATTTTAGTGAAACTTTGCTAGAGAAAAAGGCTCACCAAGAGAACAACTTGCAGGTGATTTAGATTCTCCCAACCAGAATAAATTAGCCAACCGTAAGATTTACCAAATATTTTTTTAGGAATAGTATTTTTCGTTGCTGTTGGTGGAAAATATTTCTTGGAAATATTTGCTGTGTCTCGCAGTGCATTGCGCGCCTAGATTACAAATCAACTGGGTTTTTTACCCGTGCAATGCAAACGTGTCGCGAGTTTGAAGGCGAATATTGTGTGGTGCCAATATTGTCTCACATCAAATCAGCGATCATTTAGCTTTACAGATAATGAATTTTAAGTAATTAATATCAGTTCTGTTGCCAACAATTCATTCATTCAACGAACTGTAAAAATTACGATCTTTCCGATCGTCTTCCTCTAATATTGTGTATTTGTAAGGAAGGGCCTTTCAAAGAGAAAGAAAGGATATCACTAAGAGAAAGAGGAAGTGGTTTATCTTAGCAACTGCCTATGTCCTGACATACAACAGCCCAGAGGTTGTTTTAGGCTTCGATAAAATGGATATTTATAATTTATCCTTTCATCCTTCCCATATAAATCACTATAACAACGTCATGTTACGTCACTACAGTATTCGAACAACTTTACTTTTAGCCGGATGCCTTATATATGCTTGTATAAGCAATCCGTTAAGATATTTCGTATCTATTCTAAGTTTTTTTAGTATCTATTTTAAGTTTGTTTTTTTTTTTTGCCTAAATATACTTTTTGATGGATATATATAGAGAGAGAGCGGTCTCAGGGGCGGATCCAGGATTTTTTCAAAGGGGGGGTTGTAGCATTGTAGTTTGGCGGGAAAGTAGTACAGGGTTACCAAACGGAAGTAGGTCTTATGATAATAACCGTTACTTCACCAAGCTAAAAGTTACCAACGGTAGGATAGTATAATAAATGGCAAATAAATGATGTGGAGTTTCTAGTTACAATTCACGATACCTCATCACAGCTGACTCCCAAACGAGCAGCTTCGAGGGGGCATAAAAATAGAAAATTACGACTAAGTAATATCAAAGAGTACTCGTTATTTATAGTCCAATATAAGAAATAGTATTTACGTCAAAATCATAACGTGCAATATTGGATTCTGTTTATCGTAACATGTAACGAAACCTTATACTTTCAACAAAAAAATTTTTTGCGAAGCATTTGTTAATGATAGAGTGAAATTTGTAAGTTTATATTTTTGTATAATTATCAAAATGTAACAAAGTAAAAACTAAAACCCTTTTCATTAAAAATAAATAAAATAAAATAAAATAAAAT